GCGATAGGAGCGATTAGAGCGAAGCGAATATTCGCATCGCGTCCGGTGTGAACGCAGCATAAGAGTTTATCAAATATGATGCTTTGTTATTAAATAAACTGCCATCAGGTGCTTAAAATATATTAGGCAGTATACAAGTATCTAGGTAAAATATGTGTTTTCTTTACAGTACACTACTAGGAAAGTGTTAATGGCAGCTTTCTACCACATCACTGAAGTTTGATTGGTGCTTTTGTGGCCACCACTGAAGTGCGATATTACCCAACTGGCTTTCCAACGGCCGATTGACTAGCAGGACTTCCCCTTTGACAAACCCAGGCACTAAATCACATGTTCACTCAGCATTAGACAGGAAGACAACACTGAGCACGGCATGCAGGAGAAATAGTAAGCAGGGACGATGGCAATAATCCGGTTGAGGAGAAGCTTTTTACGGGCCATCTTACTTCATGAAGAAGATGATGTGTTTACTAGTTGCTCACCACCAGAGGTAATATCTCTACTTGTTTAATTTTTGAGATTATCTTTAAAGCTGCGACTTGCTTCACAGTGTACAGATTTGCACAATAGTGTTGCAGAGTGTTTCTGGTAAAAGCAGTCAGTTTGCTAAATGGCTTGAAGGTTAAACTTGCAAAGAAAGTTTCCCTGTTTTGTCCCTGACTTTCTTTCAAATGCCGTCTTCTTGTGTCTTTTCTAGTTTAATTAAGACACTGGTGAATTATGTCGTATAGGCCTTCTTTGCATATTTGTTGGGCTGCACCATTTTTTTAAATGTTATCAAATTGCGAATAAGGACTCTGCAGAGAAACCGGGTTTTCTTACAGTATTCTTAATTAAAGCTCCTTGTTTGGTACAGATCCTCCTTAAAAAAACGACACCAATATCATTTTATATATTTCTAAAGATGATGAAAAAACGTAATAATGATCATATCGCAATCGCAACACCGGTCAAAATTATTGCGTTTTGTTTTTTTCAAATCGTGCAGCTGTAGATTTGGGAGTAATCTGAAAATGTGCTTATTTTGCATTAGGACACATTTAAAATACTGGTATATCAGTTCAGTATCATTCCCTATTTCCCCTGCCTCTAGTACAACATATCACATCATGATCATTCTAATATGTTAATCAATTATATGATAAAATGATCATCCCTCTTATATCGGAATTATGATATCAGTCATAATAATTGCAATTCTTGCCGAATAATGCAGCCCCGTATTTCCACACTTTCCACCTTTATTTAGCGGTTGTTGTGATGCTGTTTCTAGCAGCAATTGTCTTCATGGAGTGCGCTGAATATAGGATTCTCCGGTGCACCTCCAGCTGTTTGCTCGCCTCCTGCATATTTCATCCCTATTGATCCCCGTGTGATAAAAACATCACAGAGCCGGTGTTAGGAGCCTCGGGGCGCTGGCATTATTTATGGCTCTGTGCCCTGCCGCTGCGCAGAGAGGCAGCATGAAATAATCATGAGGAGCAGCGGCCCGTTGACTGCATCCGTCTCACCTCGTCAGGGTTTCTGAAGAAGGATGCTCCGTCATTACAGGCGGCTGGATTTACTACGGCTGCTGCTCCACTGGATGCAGGGACCTTTAAATCAATAGTATTTCAATTCATACCCACATGCTCAATCTGTCAGCGGCCAACGTTACAGCATATTCTCCTATTTTACAGCAGTGGCTCAGTCAGTAGGGACAGACTGGGAGCCGTAGGGTCGCTGGTTCAAGTCCCCGAACAGACCTAAATATGGAGTGTGGACTTCTACTTGGAGAGGTCCCAGTTCACCTCCTGCCCTGCCTTGGTGCCCGTGAGCAAGGCACCGGACACCCCCCCCTTCCCCCCTCACTCCCATTGCTCCCCGGGCGCTGTACAATAGCTGCCCACTGCTCCTAGTACTAGACTCCTTGTACTAGGATGGGTTAAAAGCAGAGAACACATGTCACTGTCAGGGTGCGTACGGGTGCTGGAAATCCTTGAAAATGCTTGAAATTGTACGAGGTGTTTTCAAGGTTTGAAAAGTGCTTGAATTTTGGGAATGGTGCTTGAATTTGGGATAAAGTGCTTGAAATTGTAAATGCTTTACTTCGCTTTTTAGATTAAAAGAAAATAAAGAAGTCTGAGCGCGCTTAATTGCTTCGCTTTTACATAAAACAGCTCCGCTCCAGCCTTCCCGCGCAATGCGCGTGACCGGCAAGTGTTTTTGTTACGTGTGTGACCTGGGCATTCTGATGAGAGTGATAGATGACAGTATGCCAGGAGGTTGCCGTTTCAACGAGCGTTGGCTAGCAGAAGACAAATACAAGCCATGGCTAAGACGAGGGTCAAGCGAAGCCCAAGAGTAGCCTCCTGCAAAGTGTGCAACAATAACGATGCGAGAGTCTGCGCTGACGAGCCACACACCACACGAAAGGTACGCCGTATAGAGCATTTTAGATTAGGCTATCGTTGCATGTAAAATACATGACACTTTTCTCTGTGCGCGGCAAAACAAGCTCGCCAAAATGGCTTCACTAGTCTGGCAGTATTTTAAGTGTCCGAAAATGACAATAAAATAGCGGTATGCAACGTGTGTGTGAAGCAGAAATCCTGCAGCTCCACCCGCTGTGACGGACCGGTGAGCGGAGCAGAACACACATTAAGAGTTAGACCTAACACACTTAGCTATTTTATCTACCTCTGGAACAAGCTAAACTAGTTATACATATATTTATTCTTCACTGTCGGGTCGCTCATTACTGGATCAGTGAGCTGCAGGAGATACTGACGGGCTGTCAGGAGAGAGAGAGAGGGGGAGAGAGGAAAAGAGAGCGATATCGGCCGATACTGATTCCGGCGATCGGCCCCAAAATTGGCGATCGGAGCATCCCTAATAATTGTATATGATATGTTTTATAATGATTGATCATGAAAGTGTTCTCAAAGCTGGTAAAGTTGCAGCTAGTTTGAATGACTTTGTATACTACAGAGTAGCTTGTGAATTTACTCCAGGTGGAACTAAAGTCTGATTTAACACTTGATTATATTTCACATCATTCATCCACATCTGTAAAGTAACTAAAGGTATTAAATACATGTAGTGGAGTCAAAGTAAACCATTTACCTCTGACTTGTGTTTACTGCCAACCTAAAGTACCTCAAAAATAGTAATCAATAATATATTGAAAAGTTATTTGGCTGATTGTTTTATATTGGCTCAGCCAGGTTATATGGGATGCCCAGTCTACGTACAGATGGGTCACTCATTTTGAAATATTAAACTTAGTTTTCTTTTCTAACATTTTTAATTTTTCATCCTCATGTAGAATGCTATTATGAAACACACATTTGGTTGTTTATAGCATAAAGAACATCTGATTTAATGTGAGGTAGGGAAATAATCATTTGAGTATAAGTATGTGTATATAAATATGTAATTTACAACAGCTGTAAGATGCTTGAAAAGCTTGAAAATGCACCTTGAAAATGCTTGAAAAGTGCTTGAATTTGACTTTGGAAAAGGTGTAAGAACCCTGCACTGTGTGTGCTGTGTGCTCTGCATGTGTGACCATTAAAGAGGGGTTTCATCCCTCCCAATTCTATTCTATCTATTCTATACGAACATTGGGTTTGTGGTTCGACATATTTCAGATCCGGTTTAACATGAAACACCAGGATTCAAAGAGCAATGGGAAGATTGTTCTTCTAAATTTGACATATAATTCATTTTTTCTAAAAGGTAATGATGGACAAGGAGTTATAGTTTGCTGTCAATTTATATCGAAGCCTTTCACTTTTATTAGAATAGTTATACCGTTCATTAGAGATGATATTAGTGTCTTCAATCAATTGACAGAAAGTTGGTTTCATTGGCAACTATTTAGAAAATTGTTTAGTTTTCAAGCAAAAAATCCAAACCATTTGACGCTACTAGCTTTTCAAATGGGATGTAACTTAGTTTTTTATAGTCTTATATCATAATTAACAGAATATATTGTGTTTTTTTACCATTGACCAATAAAGTTTGAAGATGTATTTATATGCTTTAGACAATGGTGACTTTGTACTGGCCAAATCATTTACCTTTCTTTGGTTTCAAGAAAACTGTAGGGATTATTTTCTTGTAGTGTACAATGAACTCTGGGTCTTCATGCATGAATTCTCTTTTGGGTTAAACACATTTCTTTCACAGTTAATGTTCATAATTGTAGATTTGGAAAGTATGTGCCTCTGTGTTTAACAGTCGACTTCCTGTCTGTAGAAAGCATTTCCCCGGTTCTTCTCTCCCAGCTGCAGGGCTTCGTCTGGACAAACAGTCCTACTAAATCCTCTTGATATTCAGTTTCACTTCCTTTTTTCTACCTGACTTCGTGCCACTCTCAGTTGTACAACAACACTTCCTTCCCTCTCCTCGTCCGCATCCCCTTCATTCAAGGCTCTGCTCATCGGTGGTCAACAGTGCTTATGTCAGCTTTAAATACATATCGTTTTCTGGCATTCAACGCATTTCCTTTTAGGATTCAACGCCACTCAATACTGCAAATAATAGGAGATTGATTGAAGTGTGTGATGCCTGGTTTTTAAGGTGTCACTACCAATGTGCAATGAATACTGTTTGTTTTACAATTAACTGCTGCTGCTCCACTACCTAAGACTGTTCACTGTTTTGAAGACTTTTTACACTTTGGTAATGTTAATACTGGCTGCTACTCCATTACGTTTATATGATCACTTGTTTTTATACTGCTGTTACTTTTGATTCATATTGTATACATGTGTGCTTCCCTCTTTATTTAATATGTTATTCTACTCACTTACGTTTGCTTTCTTTCTGTACTGCCCTTGTGCTGTATCAATGTAAACGTCCCCGCTGTGATTGGAAAAAGGATTTCTCTCTCTGATGTGCAGCTGTTGAATCACACTCTGAACGCTTTGATTTTCACTCTGTCGAGGAACTTTCCCCTGATTATATAACAGACTGAAATCCACTCACAGCTCCACTTCCTTGTCTCTCTTCAGACGGTTTCCTCGTCAGGCCACGGCCGCTCCGAGTCTCCGGTCTACACCAACCTGCAGGAGCTGAAGATCACCCAGAGCAGCCTCCCCCCCGCCCCCTCCAACTCCCCCCTCCACGTGCTGGGAGACTGGGAGACGTACAAGGACCAGCACGGCCGCCACTTCTACTACAACCGCTCCACCCAGGAGAGGACCTGGAAGCCCCCCCGAGCCAGAGAGCCGAGCACCGGGAGCTCCAGAGGAGAGAGCCTGAGCGCCGGAGAGAGCTCCGAGGTACACAAAACACACACACAATACAAAGGGGCTTTATTGGCATGACCACATTTTAAACATAGTATTGCCAAAGCATTCCCGCACAAGGCGTTATAACAGAACCAAACTAAAATCAACACTAAACATACATGTCAACAATACATGTGGCACAACAGCATCACACAAAACATACTGTATATGGCGTATACACACACACACACACACACACACACACACACACACACACACACACACACACACACACACACACACACACACACACACACACACACACTACTTACAACTGTCTTTGTGAGGAACTCCATGAACTACACTCATTATCCTAAGTTACCAAGTGGTAGTTGCAAAGGCAGTCAGATAAATCAAAAAGGTCACTATTGCTGGTAAGTTTCATTACAATCGTAGCAAAACAATTATTCTTTAATAAACAGTTCACATAAAAAGTGTTTCCATTAAAGAATTGGAGAAAACAAGTTGAAATAACTCATATCTGAGGTCAGGTGAGTTGTCATCATTTCCGCATTTCAAAGGCTGCGTTAAGTAGAAAACCAACAGACCTTTGAAGCTGTTCCAATATTTGCATTTACTCCTTTAATCAGTACATTCATGACCAAAGATTATTCATCACAAATCTCATGGTGTGAATATTTGTGAAAGCAACAATAATGAACTCTACAATATCGTCACAATATCAATATTAAGGTTTATTGTCAAAGTTATTCAGATATACTGATTTGATCCTCCATATCAGCCGGCCCTAGTGGGAGCTTATAATGATGCCGGTATTCAAACGATAAAGATAACAAGAGTTTTTAAAAAAAAGCTTAAGAGATTAAAATGTTGTTTAACAGATAACACACAGGGACCCTCATTTCTTGTGTGCAAACACCAACAGTAGAGGATGCAGGAATGTCAGAAATGTGGAGATAAAGAGTGTGCAAAGCTCTTGTAACCTTGTCATCTCACACACGTTGAACACCAGGTGAGTCCCTGCAGAAAGCAGCTGGGGCTCACCTGTGTGCCTCAGACCCCTCCTGTCCGACTGAAGCTTCATAACAAAGGTGTTTTACTAAAAGTTTGGCTCTTAAACTTTATTATAAAGTCAAACTTAATTCTTAGATTGAATCCATTCATTTTCCAACCCTTAATTACATGTCCAAAGATGTTGTCACTCTAAACTCAAACAGGTTCTCACAAGTATAGAATTACAAGAACACACACACACACACACACTTGCTTATATTGACTTAAGTGAGTCAAAGAGTAATGTGCCAACACTTCTGGTTCTATGATTCTTTGTGCTTCCCCAAAAAGTGCTCTCCATGGTAACATCTGACTTGTGTGACTGCCTTGTGATGAACAACACAGTTGGCAGTGTGTAGGCAATGAAGCGTTTGCAAATTGCTCGGCACCGACGGGTTGTTAGAGAGGTGACAAAATACTAAAAAGGAAATGAAAGGTGTTTTGGTCTGTTTGACAAAAAGCTTGATTACACACCAGAATAATGAAACAGTGCAGAGTGGAAATAATTACATTTTAGATTTATTTGATGTAGGGCTGCGGTTATGGCAAAAATCATAATCACGATTATTTGGGTCAATATACGTTATAATACGATATGGACTTTGAAAAAATCCATTTATTGAACTTTAAAACAAATACAAATAATAATTTGAACAGTATCTTTTTAACTGTTGATTACCCTGAACGTATAATTCAACGGAAAAACCAATACAAAAATAAATGATACATTTAAATAAATAATATCAAAATAATAAATACCAATAAACAAGATCAACAAATATTTTGGAGCGCACTTCCACAAGCTACTTCCTAAACATATATAAATATGATAAATACAAATAAATGAGACCAAAATGAATTAGATCAAATATGTTGCAGTGCACTGTCACAACCTAAGCAAAGTTTATTATGTTGTTTTCGTAATTGTGGCAGGCCAAAATCGTAATTGCGATTAAAATACGATTAATTGCACAGCCTACTTTGATGACCAGTGAATGATTTCCTTGTTCCTTTGATGAACTCCCACACAAACACACACCTGACAGATTAGCCTGAATCATCTGGGAGTCACCTCTGATTTAGAGTTAACTAGATGTACCACACTGCCCCCTACAGGCAGCAAGCCGCCTCTGTTCCTTTAATATTCTGTGTCATACAAACAGCATCAGATGTGCACCACAAAATGAAGCCTGCTCATGAGTGATTTGTAGCTTGTTTTTCTGATTCTCTGTGCTCTAATGAAGTGGTGTTGGGGGGTCTCTGATGATTTGTGGGTGCATGGCTGTCCTGTCCTCTGTACCTCCCTGGTGAAAGACTCCCCTTCTCTCCTCTCTCTGCACTGACGGTAGACCACTCCCCTTTCGCTCTCGCCGTCTTTCCTTCCCTTCCTGTCGCTCTCCATCGGTCGGCTGCAGCCTCTGTCATCGGAGGACTTCAGTACCTACTCTAGCCAATCAGACAGTCAGTATGGCTCGCCGCCGCGTGGTTGGTCGGAGGAGATGGACGAGCACGGCCACACGCTGTATGTCAGCGACCATACCAACGAGAAGGTACCGTCGTCTCTCTGCTGTCTCTTCATGTGGTGATCTCTCTCTGGGGGTGCATGTGGAGGCGGGTTCTGGTTCATTAACAGTCAAATGTCCTCATATTTTAGAACGAGAATGAATACAACTACAAGAGAAAGGGTTAATACAACAAACTGCTTTCTGCTATTTCCCCTAAAACAGTGGTGGAAAGTACTGCACATACGTACAATTTGGAGGTACTTGTACTTTAGCCGAGTATTTTCACTTCCACTCAAAGCCAATATTGCACTTTATAATCCTCTACTTTAATCTGATAGTTTTTATGATTTAGCAGATTAAGATTATTAGCTAATACAAAAGAAAAATAATCAACTAATAACTGAACATGGACATATTACTATAGGTTAAAAAAAAAAATACGCAAAATTAGTACTTTTGGTCCTTTTTAAGTTTATTTTCCTCCTAATAGTTTTGTACTGTCATTAAAGTAACATGGTAATTGGTCAGATAATTCTGCATAAGCACTTCAGAACTTACCCGAATGTTTTGTGTTTCCTCCGTCTGTGTTCACCCCAGTGGTTAAAACACGTTGATGAGCAGGGCCGACCGTATTACTACAGTGCCGACGGGTCACGCTCAGAATGGGAGCTGCCGAAGGTAAGACTCTGTCACAATCATTACAAATTATTAAACGTTAGTCCCGGCCTACAAATAGTTTTCTACAGACTATACTGTATGACATGTATTTGTTTTATACAGACCCTCTTAAAGGTCACCTATCATGCAAACTCCACTTCTTCATGTCTTTTCTACATCAACATGTGTCCCCTCTTCTTCATGTCTCTTCTACATCAACATGTGTCCCCTCTTCTTCATGTCTCTTCTACATCAACATGTGTCCCCTCTTCTTCATGTCTCTTCTACATCAACATGTGTCCCCCCCCCCTCTGTGGAAAGAGACTGAAAGTTTCAGGAACAAAGATTCTCTCTCTTTTTGTCCTGATCCATTTCTATAAAAACCTGTCTGAAAATGAGCTGATCAGATTTTGGCTACTTTATGATGTCATAACGATGTTTTGTCTTGTGTAACCATTAGCCAATCACCAACCAAGGTAACCCCCCCCCCACCTTATCACCTGAATCTCCTCCTAGAGCACCATTGTGTTCTTTTAACCAAATATCTCTCAGAGGGGCGTGGGGAGGGGCTCCTTATTTTCATCTAAAGTAACAGACAGAGAATCAGCACTTTTGAAACAGAGGGGATTATGGGATGCTGCAATGATCTGTTTGGAGCCAAACACTTCAGAGACATGTTGTGTATATATCTGAGACCTAGTAATATATTGATGGAAAACAGTATAATAGGGAGACCTTTAAAAAGTCCTGGTATGCATTGATTAAAAGTTAGTGATATAATAATACAGTATGACCCCCTGTTTCCCCCCTGCAGTTGAACCACTCCCTCCCCCTGCCTGGAGACGCTCCCAAGAGTCGGAGTCTGGACCGGAGAAGCGTCGAGCCCATCGTCCTCACCAAGTGGAGACACAGCGCCTACGTCCAAGACCCCAACGACAAGGTCTGACCCCAAAACTGATTCATATTCAATTTAACTTCTAGCTAAAAAAATATATATCTATATAGGCAAAATGTCCTCTACGGTTCTAGGTTGATAACTCCTTCCCGCACCACTCTGTGGACTGTTCAGATGTAGAGCTTGTATTTGATGTGTGTACTGGTGAGATGTATTATTACGTCACTCCAGAGTCTCAGTTGTAGACTGGTTGCTTTGCAGCGGCTGATAAAAACCCGGCGTTTCCGCGCAGGCTCTGCCCGCCAACACCCGTACAAACACCAAGTCAGTAGCCTGTCAACCGACCAATCAGTGTGCTCTAATCCAAGCAGACGATCAGCGTGCATGATAATAATCACACAGCAGGAGTAATTATCCCCATCTTTATGTCAAATTGTTTTTGGCCTGATTCACTGAGCTGATTTGAATAATTTCACCAAGAAACTGAATATTCAATCGTGACGCACAAATGATTTGTCTTCAAAATAAAAAATGCAGCACTGTGATAAATCCCTGCCTCCACGTCTAATTAATAATCCACCCGTGCCTCCTGGACATCTCTCAGGTACTCACTTTGCAGAATCATAATCTCCCTCTAATTGCCATCACACTCGTTCAGCTGTTTGTGTCTTCCTAACCTCTCATCGTCTTCTCGTTAACCTTCTGTTGTTCGCCCATGTGACCGTGTGTTTTATTTTGTATCCCTTTCTCTTCACTAGGACGCTCCTCTGAGCCCAAAGCCCTCCACTCCAGACTCTGACTCCTGCCCTTCGTCTCCCAAGCCCCCCGCCTCTGTTAGTACTCACCCCTCACCTCACCTCCTCACTTGACCCTGCTGGTATCACATGTTGCAGCTTATTGCAGGGTTTCTGCACAGGTATTGAAAACCTGGAACTCAAAAGAGAAAAGGATTGTGTCCCAGGATACAATCCATGCATTCTGATATGAATTTGAGCCCGTGTAGATTCCCTGTTAATAATCAAGAAAGCTGCCAGCATTACTAAACTAATCGATTAGTCAATCACCAGGAAGATAATCGCCAACACTTACTTGAACCTACAAATGTTCACTCTAATATCTTTCATGCAAAACGGGCAGCAAATGCCGTTTTCAGACCCTCAAATATGGAGATTTTATAAAGTGTAAAGTGAATATTTTGTGGTTTTTAAACTGAAGAAAATAAAACTCTTACATTTTATAGACCAATTGATTAATCGCTCATCTAGAAAGTAATCTGGAGATCATGGAAATATTCCTTGGTTGCGGTGCTGATGGGTAACATGGAGGAATTGCTTGGTTTGTTTCTGGGTGTGTGATCGCTTGTGTTTCCCCAAATAATCGCCCTCTTTGGTAACATCTGGAACTAAAGATCAGCGGTTATATGCTGTTCAGCGAATAATCCTTTAATCTGATTTCTCTGTGCACTTTTCAGTGTTGAATCACAGGGTTTCTTTGGAGGGGGAATAATGTTTTTCCTTCAGGCTGGAAGCGGTGGTGGGTCTTTTGTGTGGTGCTGATGGTGTTTACAATGGCCCTCTTATTGTCTCCCAACATCTGTTTTTGGACAGCCAGCTTCTCTCTCCTGTCATCCCTTCTCAACAGTGATTGATGTTTATGTGTGTCTTCATGTTCTGTCTTCTCTCCAGCCCTCTGAAAAGTGCGGCGTTCTGAATGTGACAAAGATCACCGAGCACGGCAAGAAAGTACGGTGAGTCTCCCAGACTGAAACTACACCAGCTTGGACATTATGTGGTATAATGTAGAGTTTTAAAGGAAGCCTGTGAGGATATTAACTTATACTAGAGTCCTGTAGGAGTATCTTGTAAGTGTATCCCTGCACACAACCATACTGCAGGCTCGCTTTAATGCTTTCCTCCTGATAGTGAGTTAGTATGAAAACAAATGAGAAACCAATGCAAGGAAGAGGAAGAAGAAATACAATTGTAGTCAAAGATGTAATCCATGATTAGTTTGAGCACAGTGATGTGTGAAAGCATGAATACAAACATCACTTTTGTTTATATTCAAAAACAACTCTTTAGGCTAACTTAAAGGGGACCTATCATGCAAAATGCACTTGTGTACGTCTTTTCTACATGAATATGTGTCCCCGGTGTTCCAGGGAACTCACCAAGTGTCAGAAAACACAACCCTCTCTATTTTCCTCCATACCCAAATCTCTAAAAAAGGGGCTGCAACGGATCTGATAAAAACTGATCCAGATTTGAACACTGTCCTGACGTCAGGACGGTGGCGCTACGGCTATTGGGCCAACTCCACCAATCAGGAGGAGACAGCCACGGCCATTGCCAGTTCGAAAGCGCTGGAGACGCTTGTAGTACATATGCCAGGCCATGTAGGTGGTGCTGTTCTCACTGAATCTGCCCTTGCTAAAACAGAGCTAAAAATGTCAAATTGAGCAAAATGAGGCATGGCTAAAATGCATGATCTGTTTGGTATTTTGAAAAAAAAAAAGTATAAATATGCCTTATAGGTATGGTCCAACACTATATTATTCAAATATAGCATGATAGGTCCACTTTAAAGATATTGATTACAAATGTCTTGTTTTATTATTACGTTTAATATTTCAAAATAAGAGAGAAATAAGCTGACCAATACTTTGGTATTCAACATCATTAACACCACCCGGACCCATGACATCATCACTTAGGTTTGATACTGAACTCTGCTGAATAGAGAGAAGGTCTCTGCAGATGTTTCATATGTTTATTTTGTATTGTTAAAGTGTTTCTGAACTCTGTGTTGCAGGAAGAACTGGACTTCCTCCTGGACGGTGCTGCAAGGATCCTCGCTGCTGTTCACCAAAAACCAAGGAGGCGGGACCAGCTGGGTGAGTGACAGCAAGCTCTTACATCTACAACACAGCCAGATACTTTCTAGAGAAATAGTCACACGGCGACTAAGAAAACTGAGGCTTATGAAAGGACGACTGTCCGATATGCGAGGATACGATTTGATACTTTATTGTCAGATCAAGTCAGAAAGGTTTTTTGTATCGCAGCAACAAGGACACATACCAAAACAATAAACAGGGAAACAGACCTTTCACTTAACCCTTGTGCCCTCCTCGAATTTTCAACCTTTCGACCCTTCGTGGCAAAAATGTACACGCCCATAATAACTGCTATTAAATCATCATACATCAACATTTCTTTCTACTTTTTTTTTCATGAATCACTTTAAACAACTTATAACGTACTCAAAACTACCAACATTCAAAACATTTCAGGATTTTAACCCTTTAAATGCCTGATTAATTATTTGAATTATTCATTATTTATGACAAAAAAAACACAAACAATGAATTTTTTTTCAATATAATAATTAGTAGAGAGATGAACTTTGGTGGTTTATTAGAGTCTTGGATGTGTCAAAGATTAGCAATAAAATTGATTTCACTGCATTATATTTTTTACGTAGTGTCAGATACTACCTCTGGACCCCTTCGTGGCAAAAATGTACACGCCCATAATAACTGCTATTAAATCATCATACATCAATATTTCTTTCTACTTTTTTTTCATGAATCACATAAACAACTTCTAACGTACTCCAAACTACCAAACATTCAATCATTGGCAGGATTTTAACCCTTTAAACGCCTGTTTCATTATTTCATTTCTCTCAAAAATGCCTCATTGACTTCCATTCAGACCACATTTGTTGATCTCACTGCCATTGCCGTATAAAACCATGCATTTTGTAATGTCAGCATTTCATTTAGAAGAAAAGTAGTATTTGATATTTCTACTCTATTCCAACAGATTAAACCATTTTCCCACTGTAGGCCGATGCATTCAATTCTTACATTTTTGCCAGTTATATTATGGAGCCGTGTGACTACCAGGGGGCCCTGAGGTGTGTGTGTGTGTGTGTGTGTGTGTGTGTGTGTGTGTGTGTGTGTGTGTGTGTGGTGTGTGTGTGTGTGTTGTGTGTGTGTGTGTGTTGTGTGTGTGTGTGTGTTGTGTGTGTGTGTGTGTGTGTGTGTGTGTGTGTGTGTGTGTTGTGTGTGTGGTGTGTGTGTGTGTGTGTGTGTGTGTGTGTAGTGTGTGTGTGTTGTGTGTTGTGTGTGTGTGTGTAGTGTGTGTGTGTGTGTAGTGTGGTGGTGTGTGTGGTGTGGTGTGGTGTGTGTGGTGTTGGTGTCGTGTGTGTCATTCCTGCAGCAGCCCAGCCGGTCCTGCCAGCCTGTGACCTGGTGCTCTCAGTGATTGAACACAACAATTTTTAGGCCTGTGCCACAACCAGCACACACCTCTCCTCCCTCTCTGTGTGTGTGTAGGCATCTGTAAGCATGCCAGATTCATTTCATGGGAACAAAAGGCCATCTTTTGAGGGATGTGTTTGATGTGTCCTTTGAAGATTACTCAAAAACAAAAACACCTGTTAGTAGTGTTTATGCACCTGGCTGCCAAAGATAAACATGCAGTTTGACCAAGGGCTTATTTCATTAGTGAGCAGAAGAAGGAGAAAGACCTGGAGCAAAGAGAAGGAACTCAAATGAAGAAGCTTTTCAGTGCAGAGGAGACTTCAGAATAATCTTGTAGCTTCTTCTGCAGCGAGCTGCAGGACTCATCTGAAGAAGACACAAGGTGGGTCGAGGGGGGGGGTCTGACACTGAATGCTCTCTGGAGTCCAGCATTTCTTTGAGTTCCTCTGAACCCTCCTCTGAAAGTGGAGAGGACACTGAGGGTCCGGCCCCACAGTGAGGGGACAGAGAAGAACGGAGGTCGTTCTCACAGGAGCTGGGGAAAACCAGGGTGTCCTCACAGATTATGAGAAGAAAGCCCCCGTGGTGGTGGATGGGGCCGGCACACACACACACACCACACACACACACACACACACACACACACACACACACACACACACTCTCGGGGCCCCCTGGTAGTCACACGGCTCCATAATATACTCAGGCAAAAATGTAAGAATTGAATGCATCGGCCTACAGTGGGAAAATGGTTGAATCTGTTGGAATAGAGTAGAAATATCAAATACTACTTTTCTTCTAAATGAAATGCTGACATTACAAAATGCATGGTTTTATACGGCAATGGCAGTGAGATCAACAAAAGTGGTCTGAATGGAAGTCAATGAAGCATTTTTGAGAGAAATGAAATAATGAAAATAATGAAACGGGCGTTTAAAGGTTTAAAATCCTGCCAATGATTGAATGTTTGGTAGTTTGGAGTACGTGAGAAGTTGTTTATGTGATTCATGGAAAAAAAAGTAGAAAAAGATATTGATGTATGATGATTTAATAGCAGTTGTTTGGGGCGTGTACATTTTTGCCACGAAGGTGTCCAGAGGTAGTATCTGACACTACGTAAAAAATAATAATGCAGTCAAATCAATTTTGTTGCTAATCTTTGACACATTGTGCCCGAGGAGGGCACAAGGGTTAACATTACGATCACTGAAGACAACACCACAATACATATGTGTTACTGTAGTATTATATCACTATCATATCACAATGATTGCTCAACAGAGTTAAAGAGCTGCACTGCAAGGAATCTCTCTTGTTTTTACCTAAAAGTTGATCAGTTATGAATCAAACTTTAAATCTAATTCCGTGTTCTTCGCTATCAAAGCAGAATATTGTTCTCTCCTCTCTGAAGATGTTTATTAGTGATGGGAATTACGGCTCTTTGAAGGGAGCCGGATCTTATGGCTCCGTTCCTTTCCGAGAGCCGTTCAAAAGAGCCGTTCAAAGAGCCGTTCAAAAGAGCCGTTCAAAGAGTCAAAGAGCCGTTCAACAAGAGCCGTTTTTTTTAAGGGGGTTGGCCTAATAGGTTTATCTGCGAAATAATCACCAGGATAATGATTGACTGTATTGCCAGAAATCTACTTTTACTCACAGAAAAAATGTGTAACTTGCTACATCTCTCAGGCAGCCAAAGTACTACTCAAGCAAGCGTTATGTCATCATCTACGGCTAATGTGCCATTCAGGAAAGCAAGTTGCTTTAAAGGCGAGTGGATTTGTGGCAGGCAGTGAACCAACGATAAAAAGAACGGCTCTCACCAAGTACGACTCGGTTCCCTTCGTTCGTACCAAAGAGCCGTTCAAAAGAATCGGATCGTTCGCGAGCGTCACATCACTAATGTTTATATTAACTTTTGTTGGGTTTGAATATCCTTCCTTTGTGTCCTCTCTGTTCAGTTTGGAGGCGGTCAGTCTAAGCCAGAGTTCACTGTGGACCTGAGGGGGGGCTCGGTGGAGTGGGCCTCCAAGGACAAATCCAGCAAGAAGCACGTTATGGAGGTGGGGGGAATTTCACTCGTTTTGTTGTTGTTGTTGTTGTTATTATGTATAATTTAAAGAATGCACTGAAAGGCCTCTTCCCTCTTCCCAAGCACCAAGGCTGCTTTTTAAGACACTTCGCCATCTAATATTCATTCCTTTATTTGTTGTTAATGACATCTAGGCCTCATGCGTTGTTATGGTGATGAATTGATCTGAAAATAGATACGACAAAAACCTTAAGGTGAAGTTAATAAAACAACATTGTTACAACTTTAGCATCCCTTTAAGTTTAATTTAACAGCAAATATTGAAGGTGCTTCTAATGTTTCTGTTTTCAAACTGACTCTCACCTTTTATTACAACTGCTTACAAACTCAATGCACATTTTTTCGGCTAAAGTTTGTTTAATAAAGACTAAACGAAGCCAGTTAATAATCTTTATTTCTCTGCGTGTTGCAGGTGAAGACTCGGCGGGGCACCGAGCTGCTGATGCAGTCGGATAACGACGGGCTCATGAGCGACTGGTACCGAGCGCTGCTGGACACCATCAGCACCCATGTGAGCATCTCCAACCTGTCCTAAAACGCCTCATATACTTATATTATCTATCATAAAACAATTTAAAAAATCATAATTGTAATATGTAGTTTCAATTTAGTTGTAATTAACTGAAATTGCAATAGATTTTGATGACCATCATCGGTCAATGCGTGTCAATCAAATTACTGAGATGAGAGCAGGGCGACATTTATTTAAATATGGCCTAAATGACCTACTTCATGTTACAAAACGTAGCCAGAATTATCACAACCCACCCCGAAAGATTTTCTCCACTACTATTTAAGTAAGAAAACACCCTTATAAAACACTCAAGCTAATTTATAGAAAGCAACTTAACTAATTATAATAATGTAAAACTGAATTGAAATAGAAATAACATTTAAAAAATAGCAAAACCAATAGACTAGTTAATTAATGTCCCTTTTAGTCTACAGATCAAGTTTGTTGATTTCCTGAGTCCAAAGGTAGACTTATTTAGTGTGTTGTGTGTGTGTGTGTGTGTGTGTGTGTGGGTGTGTGTGTGGGTGTGTGTGTGGTGTGTGTGTGTGTGTGTGTGTGTGGGGTGTGTGTGTGGTGTGTGTGTGTGTGTGTGTGTGTGGTGTGTGTGTGTGTGTGTGTGTGTGTGTGTGGTGTGTGTGTGTGTGTGTGTTTGGTGTGTGTGTGTGTGGGTGTGTGTGTGTGGTTGCCTGTGTGTGGTTTGCCTGTGTGTGGTTGATGTGTGTGGTGCCTGTGTGTGTTGTGGTTGCTGTGTGTGTGGTTGCTGTGTGTTGTGTGTGGTTGTGTGTGGTGTGTTGTGTGGTTGGGTGTGTGTGTGTGTGTGGTGTGTGTGTGTTTGTGTGTGGTTGTGTGTGTGTGGTGGTTGTGTGGTGTGTGTGGTTGTGTGTGTGGTTGGTGGTGTGTGGTGACTGCTGTTGTATGGTGTGTGTGTGTGTGGTTGCCTGTGTGTGTGTGTGGTTGCCTGTGTGTGTGTGTGGTGCCTGTGTGTGTGTGTGGTTGCCTGTGTGTGGTTGTGGTTGCCTGTGTGTGTGTGTGGTTGCCTGTGTGTGTGTGTGTGTGGTTGCCTGTGTGTGGTTGCCTGTGTGTGTGTGTGTGTGGTTGCCTGTGTGTGTGTGTGGTTGCCTGTGTGTGTGTGTGGTTGCCTGTGTGTGTGTGTGGTTGCCTGTGTGTGTGTATGGTTGCCTGTGTGTGTGTGTGTGGTTGGTTGCCTGTGTGTGTGTGGTTGCCTGTGTGTGTGTGTGTGGTTGCCTGTGTGTGTGTGTGTGTGTTAGGCTTGGGAGGAGTCTGATGAGGCCATTGAAGACGACATGCCGGAGTCGCCCGGTGCAGAGAAACACGACAAGGAGAAAGAACAGAGAGACTCAAAGAAAGGCAGAGGTCTGTCTTTCTGTTTAATGGTGTCAACACAAGTACAAACACATACCATGTTTACTCGATTGTTAAAGAAAAATACATTAAAAAGTATATATACTGTATGGGTCAAAGAAATACAAAAATGTGAGTTTAGTAAGTAACAAAAAGCGAATGTGACAGCAGGACTTGGTGGACACATTATGCAACATTGCTTAAAGAGTCATACATCACGTGTTTTGTTGCCCTTATAAAACGGCTGCATATCAGTTTTATTTCCTCCAAACATCCACTGCCGTCATGGCGATCAGTGTGTTGAGACGCGTGGTGGATAACGCCCTCCTCTCCCATCTGTCCTCTGCAGCCATGAAGACGTCCAGCAGCATGGACGCCTCGGACAACAAGAAGACGAGACACAAGCTGAAGAAGTTCCTGACGCGCCGGCCCACTCTGCAGGCCGTCAGAGACAAGGGATACATCGAAGGTACCGGAGAGCCATGGGTTATCTAGGAACACAAGTCTGAGTCGTATTTATTACACAATGCATGAACAGGGTTCAATCTTTGGAGTCCTGGGGTGTTATGGAGTCCAAAAGGCAGCAGAAACTTTGACTTATTCTTCGTAGAAATCAATAAATGTTCATGACATTTTTAAGGAAGTATTCTATTGCTGCAGGGTTTTAGAAAATCTCAACTGTAAAACAAGGCAAGTTTATTTCTGTAGCACATCGAAAGGCAATCCAAAGCTTTTACTTTTGCTATACATTTAAGCAATAGCTCACGACAGGCCGTGGTATATGGCCATTATATCACAGTTAAGGGGCGTGGTTCGGCCCGACGCGAAGCATGCAGTTTGCTTTTCAGCCCAACTGTATACAGTTAAATCGACCGGACTTCTTTCTGCAGATGTGAGCGTCCTTTAACAACGGTCAATAAGTCCTTGCTGCACATTATCCCTTACATGCTTCCATCTTAAGCTTTGTTAGTTAGTTAGTTAGTTTCGTAACGGACGTAATGTAACAGTTGTGACGGTTGTAGCTTTTCTCAGACGCGGAGGGATACTGACTTGTTGTGAAAAGTAACTACAATTCTACCCGTGATATACGCTCATTATATCACGGCTAAGAACCAATCAGATTGCTTGATTTGACTTTTATAAAAAAACATTAAAGCATTCAGATAAAGTGCAACAGAGACACATTTAAGTAAGACACTAATTAAAAAGCCAAGAGACAACAAATTAAAACAAGCTAAACAAATGTAACTTGTTTTTTATACACCTTTTCAGGTTTAAACAGACTTTGGATCACCAGATGTTTTACTATCACTTGCCTCTCAGGTTTCACTACTACACATACCAATGCTCTATAAGTCAATAGTATTTAGATTTTCCTAACATAAATCCAATTGCTTTAACCTAACAATATCACATTGTTATATTGAATGTGTCTTCCATTGTGCCAGTTTTCCACAGGAATCAGGAAGTCAATGTTTATAGTGATAATATTATATTACATTCTTATATTTGTTGTGTGAAGTCTTAGGCTGACAGAATTCATACTGTTTGACTTAACATAAAGTAATCTGGCACAGCTTCTAGATCAGATTAGGCAAACACTAAGCGAGGACTCTGGACTGTTGTCATGACGCTGGCTATGTCTCTCCCTGTCTTCAGATCAGGTGTTCGGCTGCAGTCTGTCCACTTTGTGTCAAAGAGAGAACGGCTCCGTGCCAATCTTTGTCACGATGTGCATCGACCACGTGGAGAACAATGGTGGGTTTCACACATGTGCCACTTTACCTTGACCTTTGACCTCAGTTATTTCAGTTTCAGTCATAAAGAAGGGTGAGGTACACTGCTTCATGATAACACAGGTACATTCAGAGTGGCTTCCAAACCATATCAATAATCTACATCACTGAACTGATTTATGGTTTCTTCCCATGATCCTTTGCAGGTCTGTGTGTAGACGGGCTGTACAGAGTCAGTGGGAACCTGGCTATCATACAGAAACTACGCTTTGCTATCAATCATGGTAAGTTTCTATTAGTTATATACAAGAAAACACAAGGGGACAAAGTCAGGAATGAGTCATCATATTATCAAACTTTATTTATATTGCACCTTTCAAACCGAGTTAGGGGCGTAACATAAACATAAGACCTACAACCCTCTTTTTGAGTAAGAAGACTGAAATATTATTATTTTTCAACATAAAATATGTCAGTAAATAGCTCACTGTTCAATATAAAGCTGCAAAAAGAAATAAAGAATTACAATCGGACAGAGTGTATATACTTGCATATTAACAATAGAAAGATGTATCTATAGAGTACACATTGTAAAAATACGCAATACAAAAACATACAGCATCATTTAGAAAACACTATAACAGACTAACCTCCTAGATAAACTATAAACATAGGATATATACGTTATAAAATGTGAAAGTTGTCATATTTGAGTGCATTATGTACAAATTGTTTAAGTTTATTGAAGTTAGATAGAAATCTGTGTGAAATTGAAGTAGTTTATTGCCTAGTGTTTAAATGTTACTTCTGCCGAAAGCATTTACGCTTCACAAATTCTGAAGGTGGAGATGATCCTGAAGAACAAAACGTGAAAGTATCATAACGTGTGTTAGCCACTGAGCTTATTTTCTGCTAAAACCCAATACATCATCCCTGCATCACTTCATCCCGATTGAAATGTCTGGTTTCATTTCTTTACGTAAGACTTTACGTCTGTGTTCGGGTCTCTGAGTGAAGGGTTTGTGTTTGCAGATGAGAGGGTGAACCTGTCAGACTCCAAGTGGGAGGACTTCCATGTGATCACTGGAGCGTTGAAGATGTACTTCAGAGAGCTGCCGGAGCCTCTCTTCACCTACGCTCTCTTCCACGACTTCATCAGCGCAATCAGTACGTGAAACACACAGCTGCACCAACACTATCTGCAGTCATTCACGCATCAACTCTGAAGTCAGTCTACTGTCTGTAACACCAGGAAGCCTCTCTGATGGCGCATTCCCACTGCAGGGCCTCGCACGGCTTAGTACGGTATAGTTAGGCCTTGGTAGGGCAGGCTCACTTTATGCTGCGTTTCCATTACAGTTTAGTAGCTGGGGCAGTAACTATGGTAACGCAGTGTAGGCGGAGCCGTGACGTCATCTTCAATGCGAACCACAGAAAAACAACATCAGCCGTTAGCTGTTAGCACTCAGAGCTCACAGCTCCTCATATCTGTTCAGAAACTAGACAAAAGTTAAACAAGTACAAACCACAGACTGTCTGTGTCATGGTGAATACAGTCGCTGCTTTATTTATGTCTGTAGGCCGTTGTTGTGAGTGTGGACGGTCGGGGGATATACATCGTTAGCTTAGCCGATCTCCATTTAGAACACACACATTTTAAAAGGTTTTTCGCCTGCCGTCTGTCTGCAGACTTGTCAAAGCATTAATTCATGGTTTTTACTAACCGGTATCAGTATGTTGTTACTTCGGCATCATTTTGAAACGTGTATTACAATTAAATCACGGTCAAATATGTTCATTTTGTTGTAGTTGTAGCCCCCTTGCCAGCGATTCTCTCTCTAGTTCAGCATACTCAGCCCGGTTGTTGGCCCGGAAAGAACCTGGATTTTGGAGAGCCAGAAAAACTGTGAAACAGTACCGTTAGCCTCTTTGTAAACAGCGTAGTACTCATATTGTCTTTTATTGGGAATAAGTCAAACAATCTGCATATGTTGTGGATGTGGAAGTAGTCAGTGAAACAACAGAAGGAGGCATGAGACTCTTTGATGAATCCAGATGATTCACTTTGATAAATGTTGTGTTTTCTGTTGTGCAGAGAGTCCAGACTACAAGCAGCGGGTTCAGTCCATCAAAGATCTGGTCCGACAGCTGCCCGTCTGCAACCACGACACCATGCAGACTCTCTTCAAGCACCTCAGGAAGTGAGAACAACACTCTCTTACTGCTGTATCATTTGTTTTTCCTTTTCATTTGCTTGCTGTGTATAATGCCGACAAATCAAATCACACTTTGTTTGCCTTTCTCTGGCGACATCTGCGGCCTGAGGCTTTTTGAGTTGTCCGTCAGAAATAACTTCCAAACATCTGTCTGTCTGTCCGCCTCGTTCTCCTGAACATATTTCAAGGAATGCATAGAGGGAACCTTTTCAGATCTGGCACAAATGTGGACTGTGACTTAAAGATGAACTGATCAGAAATGTGCGATGAAAGCTAACTGCTAATTAGGACAATTTCACAAATAGGATTAGATAGGCTGATGACAATTTGGACGAATTTGGTTGAGGCATACGATCGAGACTCTGTAATACTAGTATAGCGGATTTATGAGTTGATAATAATTAAAGAATATTGAGTTTTTCTCCATATTTGTAGGCTTTTTCTCATTCTATAAATGTACACTTATATTTTCAGAAAATGACCAAATAAATGAATGAATGTATAAATACGTCTAAGAAATTCTGAGTTTTTTACTCTTTACTTTTAACTCCCCTGCCCAGGTTTGTATATTTCACCTACAACGGCCTAAATAAACCATCATACATATCTGATTATAAATAAACGACAGCATTACGGAGCAGATTGTAAACAGTAGAGCAGGGGTTTTCAAAGTGTGGGAAGGTGAGCCTCCCCTCAGAGAACATAAGAACAGCCGCGCCCCCCCTCCCAATTATTATTGCTATTATTAGGGTCTGAGACCTAGGTCGGCGAAGACCCTATTGAAATCGGTCGCGCAGCAACCGATAAACCTTTGACCCCCGCAACATATGTGAAAACTCACCAAATTGTGCACGCGCGTCAGAAGTGGTGCAACTTCAGATGTGTAATTGGTTCCGGAACTTTGCGTCAAAAATTGCGTAGGCCACGCCCACTTCCGTTTTTAACGTAAACTCCCCCCACTTTAACTTTCACGTAAACGAACGAAACTCGCTACGCATATCTAGGGTGCGGAGACAAACCCAAAAGCCTCTTGGAGGGGTATAAAATAACGTACAGGAAGCCGGCCATTTTGAATTTGGCGTCGGAAAAACGCGATTTATCGCGTTTTTCGTCCTACGCACGAAATCTATCTTCTCCCAGGGACTTTATCCGTACGACTCGAAATTCGTCGGGTAGCGTCTCGAGACATGGGCAATTCAAAGTTATCACGGAAGTTTTTTTCTTTCGCACGGCGTAGCCGTGAATTGGCGCCAAAGTTCGCGTTCGCTCCGATGCTAGGCGATCCCTCGCCATGGAACACGATGATGTCATAACGCCAACTGACATACTCAGAACGCCACCAAACTTCACATGATGGTTAACACTGCGGCCCTGAACAGCTCTTCATCAAATTTGATGTTACTTAATATGGCGTTACCATGGCATCCCTCGCCATAAAACACGGTGTCGCTGTAACTCCAATGGACACGGTCCCATCGTCCCCCAATCTTCACTTTTATATCACCGGTCCATGCCTCAACAGCTCTATGTGAAATCTGAGATTTCCATGGCAACGCATCCCTCGCCATAAAACACAATGTTGTCTTAAATCAATGGAAAATGGTCCAAACGGCACGAGACTGCAGATGACAGTTAATGGTCCGGCCCTCAAAACCTCAATATGACAATAGGGAGTTTTCCTCAAAAGCTGTTGCCATGGCAACGCATCCCTCGCCGTTAAGCACCATATTGCTTTAACTCCTGTGTAAATTTCACATGTGTACTAACCGTCAAGCCCTCGAGACATATATGTGTCAGTTTTTAGATTGGTCAAATTTCGTTGCCAGGGTAACAAAATGGTCGCCGTGAAACACGGTTCTCTCATAACTCCAGTTAACATGCTCCAAACGGCCCAAAACTTCACAGGTTTGATAACGATGCAGCCCTCAACACATCTAGGCGTATTATGGGGTGTCATCAAATTCCGTTGCCATGGCGACAGATCACTCGCCATCAAACACAATGTTTATGATACTGCTGTAACTCCTAAATACATTGGCCGATCGGCCTGAAACTTCCCACGTTTGCCAACGGCCGAGTCCTTGAGACACCTAGACACACACGTCGACGTGCGGACAACAGCCTGCGGAGCGTCGAAGACCCGCTCAACGCTGCTTGCAGCTTTAATTATTATTATTATTATTATTGTTGTTGTTGCTATAATGCAGGGGTATTATTATCCAGTGGAATTCCCTTATCTACTGGCCTAGTTAATTCAAAGTGGTTACTTTTGTTTGGCTGGGCAGTGTAGTTTTACACACCGTCTTATTTGACTTTCTCAGGACTTAAAACTGTTTTTTGGGGGCAGACCCCACAAAGAAAAAAATATATTTACGCACGTAAGGTCATCATCTTAAGAGTTTTTTATGCTCATCGAGTCATCCGTGAGCAGAGCATCAAGTTGGCATGCCTATTAGAGCTGAATGCGGCGATTACCATGTTGTTCAGCAAAACGCCTCACAAACTTATTAAGATCTAAAGCTTTAGTGTAATTACGTATCTGCCACTGCGTTTTTTGCACTACTAAATATTGTTAATATTTACTTAATTATGTGACCGTCTATGTTTCCTGTAGATATTTAATTGCTCGTTTTACTGCACTGTTAGTGTACAGTTTTGTTATTATGCTGCTGTGTTTATTGTATTTTTGTAACTCTGGCACAACAATTTCCTTCAGGATAAATAAAGTCTTATCTTATGTCAGGATTTATTTTCATTTCCAAATGATGTGTCCTCTCCAGGGTGATCGAGTACGGCGAGGAGAACCGTATGACCACTCAGAGCGTGGCCATCGTGTACGGCCCCACGCTGCTGCGCCCCGAACAGGAGACGTGGAACATCGCGGTCCACATGGTGTACCAGAACCAGATCGTGGAGCTCATACTGCTGGAGTACGAGAACATTTTCGGCAGGTAGAGAGAGACGCTGGAGGACGAGCCTCTTGTTTTTCTCTCTCACTCTCCCAACGCAGAGCTCTTCCTAACCCAGCGTGGCCCTGCCGAACACAGCCTGGCTCGGATCGGCTCGACTCAGCTTCTCTTCATCTCAAATTGTAGTCACTGGCTTTCTCCTCTCGTACAACCTCCGGACCAAAGCTACGCAAATGTGTCATAAACCAAACCATAGATGTATCTAACTAGCGACCAAGAAACAGGTTTGCACTTTTCAGTATCTCATTTTCTCCTGCAGCTGCATTTGTGCCACTTTACTGCAATAGTTGACGTCCAAATGTCCCGACACTGGATTCCTAATACAGGGCCATGAACGCCTCATCTACTGCACAGAGACCAAAGCATCAGTTGGCTCGAAGTAAGAAGGAGGCGTCAGTATTGGAGGTTGGAGACTGGACTGTATTGTATAACCTGTCACCACTCCTGTAATAACCACACTGGGGAACCAAGAGAAGAAACCTAACTGCTGTGCTTGGCTTTAGACGTTTAGACACTAAGAGAAGCAACGTGGAGAAGAAGGGATGATATGGAACGCTTTTATTTAGGAATGATATGAACATTTACTGCCCTTTCCGTACAGTTCTCCCTTTGTCTTTCCTTTTATTTCAGCAGGAATGCTTCACCATCAAAATGACCACTTGTATATCAAATTACTCGACCCGTGTTTTCTTAAGTTTTTGAAGAAGATGTCGTTTTTCTTGTATCCCTCTACGGTAGGAAGAATTCGAAAAACTGTTTGACGAATTGACGTAAATTGGGACGTATTTTAAACCCTTTATTTAAAAGCTCTCACATTTTGTGCCGTAAAGCTCAATTATCCTGTCACATGCTAGTCATTCCATTTATTTATAAAACCTTACATTATAAAAGACATCAAAGTTTCACATTTGAGCATCATTTGACCCTCCGTGAGACTAGTCATGTGGAAGTGCTTTAAATAGTAAGCTCTTAATGAAGAATTCAAGATAACGTGGTGAATAATTGTCTTTTTGGAAAATGGTCATTCCTTTAAACGTTCCCCTTCTGCCTCTTTCCATCTCTTTCTTTGTTCTTCTTCCTGTATTCCTGAAATACTGGACCAGGGTCCTCTGAACACACGAGAGGTTTCCACTCTGTAATATATCTGCACGCCACCTTCTCCATTTGGCTTTATGAACAAATCACCTTGCAGCAGCCAGAACTTGAACAACAAACAAATGGTACTCAGCTGTGTCTTTCCTTGACTCATGGATATGAAATGTTAAGGCCAACCGTCTTTGAACCATGACTCCATTGATACATCTGTACAGTGTTTATGTGTGTGCATGTGGACGAGGGGGGGGTGGATGGATGAATGGACTCGATGACAATATATTGTACAAATAGTGAATATAAATATGTATGCTTGGAATGTTAAAGAATATGATAAGAGGGAGAAATCACTATTGTTGTGATCGTTGTGTGACCAACAGAGGAATAAAGTTCTGAACTGGGGATGTGGAGGTTTACCTGTGGTTCAGGTAAATGAAAGATTGTTTGAATGTAACTTTGGAGAGTAACTGTTGGCTTTACCAAACTGGAATAAAGACCTCTGATAAGAGATATTTCCAAACGAGATATGTGTTGTTTCTTTTACTTATGCAAACATTTACATCTGCGTTACATAAGCTCTATGAAGTCAGTGTGAGGATCAAGAAGGTGACTTGTCTGATGATCATGCGTGTTCAAATATCTGCATGCTTCTCCTGTATTTAATCCTTTATAGCCCACAATTAAAAAAAATAAACCATAAGGGACAAGACTCAACATACATTATAGGTCAAACCTTTACAACTTCTACTTTCACGATTGATTTAGAAAGCAGAAGTTTATAGATATGTTTTAGTTTGTATAATTGACATACAAGATTACAATGTGACTGCAGTGTAAGTCAGTAGGTCAAAAGTCTCAGTAACATCTTGACTTCATATTTGATCAATTACACTAAATATCTCATATCTGACTTCCCATTCAATATATTAGATTAATCTTGTTCTATGTTGTATTCATCTGTCAGTAATGTCAGACAACTGTCAGAAACGTCACACACACACACACAAACACACACACACACACACACACACACAGAACATCTCTACCACACACACACACACACACTGAACATCTCTCCCACACACACACACACACTGAACATCTCCACCACACACACACACACACACACACACACTGAACATCTCTACCACACACACACACTGAACATCTACCACACACACACACTGAACATCTCTACCACACACACACACACACACACACACTGAACATCTCTACCACACACACACACACACACTGAACATCTCTACCACACACACACAAACACACACACACACACACACAGAACATCTCTACCACACACACACACACACACACTGAACATCTCTACCACACACACACACACACACACACACACACACACTGAACATCTCTACCACACACACACACACACACTGAACATCTCTACCACACACACACACACACACACACTGAACATCTCTACCACACACACACACACACACACACACTGAACATCTCTACCACACACACACACTGAACATCTCTACCACACACACACACACACACACACAACATCTCTCCCACACACACACACACACACTGAACATCTCTACCACACACACACTGAACATCTACCACACACACACACTGAACATCTCTACCACACACACACACACACACACACTGAACATCTCTACCACACACACACACACACACACACACTGAACATCTCTACCACACACACACACACACACACACTGAACATCTCTACCACACACACACACTGAACATCTCTACCACACATACACACACACACACATCTCTCCCACACACACACACACACACACACTGAACATCTCCACCACACACACACACACACACACTGAACATCTCTACCACACACACACTGAACATCTACCACACACACACACTGAACATCTCTACCACACACACACACACACACACACACACACACTGAACATCTCTACCACACACACACACACACACACACACTGAACATCTCTACCACACACACACACACACACACACACACACACACACACTGAACATCTCTACCACACACACACACACACACACACACACACACACACACACACACACTGGACATCTCTACAACACACACACACACACTGAACATCTCGACCACACACACACCCACAGAACATCTCTACCACACACACACACACACACACACACACACACACACACTGACTGAACATCTCGACCACACACACACACCCACAGAACATCTCTACCACACACACACACACACACACACACACACACACACACACACCAAAGGCCTTTGCCTCCCTAACCATTGTTTTTATGGGTGTACCTCCCATTTATTGACGTCAGACATCTCATTTTCTTTTTCTACACCTCACACTCTCCAGAACCACACACCCCTTCAAAAGAAAAGCCCTATAGATGTAATGCTACTTGAACTTACACTACTACGTCCATCTGATATGTAACTCCTTCAGCCTACTTTCAGCTGCAGAAACCATTCAACTATGAACTTATTCAGCTATTTCAGGACATTGCCCTTACGCAAAGAAAATATATTTCCCCATATATTAACTGTCAATATATTGCATTATTTTGTTTTCTGATTTACTGGTTAATTGAAAAGATTTAATAAAGGAAATCTTGCTGTTGGCTACACCAACTGATACTGATTAATAATCAACATGAAAAACATAGTTATTCATATCTACAAAATATATTGAAGATATATAGAATAATATATTGTGTTAATATATTACAATATATTGATATATAGAATAATATATTGTGTTAATATATTGCAATATATGGGATAATACATCAGTAATTGCCGCTTTCCATATATTGAGTAATATATGTAAATATATATAATATATTGGTTGTGTATATATGTGAACATACATTTACTATATATTAACATTTATATGGGGACATGTATGTACTATATATTCACAATTATATGGGGACATGTACTATATATATTCACAAATATATGGGGACATGTATGTACTATATATTCAGATTTATATGGGGACATGTATGTAGAATATATTCACAATTATATGGGGACATGTACTATATATATTCACAATTATATGGGGACATGTATGCGCTATATATTCACAATTATATGGGGACATGTATGCACTATATATTCAGATTTATAAAAGACCATGTATGTACCATATAGAATAGAATAGGGAGGGATGAAACCCTCTTTAATGGTCACACATGCAGAGCACACAGCACACACAGTGAAATTTGGCTTCTGCTTTTAACCCATCCTAGTACAAGGAGTCTAGTACTAGGAGCAGTGGGCAGCTATTGTACAGCGCCCGGGGAGCAATGGGAGTGGGGGGGGAAGGGGGGTGTCCGGTGCCTTGCTCAAGGGCACCACGGCAGGGCAGGAGGTGAACTGGGACCTCTCCAAGTAGAAGTCCACACTCCATATTTTAGGTCTGGTCGGGGACTTGAACCAGCGACCCTACGGCTCCCAGTCCAAGCCCCTACTGACTGAGCCACTGCCGGACTTTTTTTTTTTTTTTTTTTTTTTTTTTTTTTATATATTCTGAACATGAGTGCAATATATGTTCACAATGAGGAGAAATGCATGTTCTGATAAAAACAATCTTTCATTTCATTTCAAACCTTTATGTATGCAGGTGAATCCCATTGAGATCATTGATCTCTTTTTCAAGGGTGACCTGCTGCAAGTAGGTTCCACATGAATACATATAAACATAACAGAAAAACAAAAAAGGACATCATACAGCATATTTACAGTGACTACAGTTTACATAGCTAGTAACATTTACAGGTTCCAACAGTTTCCGATTGGATAGTATCTATCCTTGCTTTAAAAACATTTAGTGGAACCAAATTGCTCAGACTGTTCCAAGTTAGCGGAGCTGCGCATCTAAAAGCTATCTTCCCTAAGACAGTCCTAGCAGTTGGCACATTTAATAAAACCACAGCATTCGATCTCAGGCAGTAGCCACTTACAATTCGCCGTGAGATCAGGGAGCAGATGTAGGAAGGAAGTTTCCCTAACATGGCTTTGTATATAAAAATGTACCAGTGACTGAGCCTCTGTACAGTTAGTGAAGGCAAACCTGCCCTTGCATACAGGGTACAGTGATGGGTTAATACTTTACAGTTTGTCACAAATCTCAGTGCACTGTGATAGGCGGCATCTAACTTGACCAGGCAATTGGCAGGTGCATTCATATAGATCAGATCACCATAGTCCAGTACAGGTAAAAAGGTCACAGTGACTAGCCTTTTTCTGGCCTCAAGTGAGAAACAGGACTTGTTCCTGTAAAAGAAACCTAGCCTAACCCTCAGTTTTTTAAGCAGGTTATTGACATGAAGTTTAAAAGTGAGACAATCATCAAGCCAGATACCAAGGTATTTGTAACAGGTAACCACTTCAATTTTTATTCCTTGCGTAATTACAATATCTAAAACAGGCTGTGTCTTTTTAGCTTTTGAAAAGATTATTACCTTGGTTTTATCAACATTTAAAAGAAGCTTAAGCGCTGAGAGCTGAGTCTGAATAATGAGAAGCTTAATTTGTTTTTTTCTATCAATGTGTAACAGTTATCAAAATACTCATTAAAAGAAGGACAAGGAAAGAATAAAAGAAAAGGCCTATAAACAACACATTATGTAATGACACATTTTCATGTAATTATGTAATAAAACCCACATTTTGTAATAATCTGCTGCATTCTGTAACAGCCTGAACGCAATATAAAATACATTTTCCTGCATTTTGTAATAAATTATTACATTTTGCAATGGTTATTACAAAATGCGTGAGTTGCCCTTTTAAAAAACTGAAATATTCATTATGTAACCATAACCAAACTGTAAATATATCCCAAATTATTACAAAAGGAGGAGTTATAACATAATGAAGGGAAAATGTATTACATTTTGTATAGGTATAGTTAATAAATGATGCATTGTTATTTCATACAGGGCCAAAAAGAGCAGTCTGTTATCCTATTTAACAATCTTGTTTTTTGTTTCACCTGGTGACAACTTTAAACATGAGCTGATCACTCATTAAAACAAGGTCCGGAACAGGGCCAAAAAAACAGTCTTGTACCCTATTTGATCGTCAATCTTGTTTTTTTCGTGCCTTAACTCACAAATTATTGTGTTAATGGATGTTCTTATATCTGATGTCTTGGTCCCTGGATGGTGGTTTACTACAGCATCTGTGGAACAGAACAATTACAAATAATTAGAAGTTCACAAAAGACAGCAGGAATTATAACAATATCCATAATATCTATATTAAAGCATGGGCTGGCTTGGTGAATAATGTGGGAATACAAATAGTGGAAGAATAGGCTTTGTACATTTTCGTCTGAGTGTGGCGCTACTGGTTGGTATATTTTATGGAATTTGGACCAAGCATCTGCATCTGTAACAGTTCTGTTTAAAACTTTTTTAAATGTAATTGCATTCATCTTTAAAGGTGGGGTAGGTAAGTTTGAGAAACCG